AAAAGTACGACTTTCCCGTGATGTATCAGTATTGCCCTCGGTGTTCAGCAAACACATTTGTATCTGTCCACAACAACCAGGCAATCTTGGCTGCAAACTGTTGCATCAAGCGAAGAATCAGAAGTTTCGTAGGCGGTTGGCGGCGCATGAGAAATTTCAGAAGAAAACAAACACGTTCGGTTCGTGAATTATAAAAACGGCCAAAATATGCTTGTGTCCCAAATTTCCACATATAATCGCCTTGCTGTGTGTCGCGATTCTGCCAGCGATGCGCAGTAACCAATCCGTGATAGTCGGAATTGGCACATTCTGCAGCACTTCCATCTCTCCCGCAAGGACAGGTTGGCGATCCCTAGATTTGAGGCACTGAGTTGCCATCGCATTGGAAAATGGTACCAGCATTTAATGCGCATGCATCGGTCTGACGGAAATCACGCGCAAGAGTGCTGTATCGGTTTGCATGCTAGCACAACGTAACGATTAAACACGACATCCTCGTGCAAGAAGCCAACGATGCGCAACACTGTTTGATAACTTGCCCTAGACCTGTGGTTATTTGTTCAGCCAACGGCAGCTGCATCTCTTGACAGCTCGGCATAGACGCCACACACTCAACCTCGCTAAGCATAACACAGCTCTACATATCCCTATCCAGAAATAACATTATTGCATACACGATTTGGCTGTAATGCCCTTTTTATAAAGAAATACAAAAATCACACTTCTGCAGTACATGCCGACCGACATAACAAGATCCGGAAATCATGATGCCCAAATACAGCCATCGTGTTGGTTTCTAACCATACTCTTGCACCATTAGCCAAAAACCATCCTACACTGCCCCACATGACATGGTGTTTGGATGAGACACTAGCCCCACACTACTCTCAACTCTTCACTCAACTCCTTTACCCATACCTACTTGTAACATAACAAACGCTAAACCAAGACCCATAAGGTGCCCCGTTTCAAAAGAAATCTCCCCAGTTATTGAAAACCAAGACCTAAACCCAGCTCCAACCTAACACTACAGGCTGAATCAAACATGTTTGATTCCGCACAGAAACTCAGTGACTGTGATCCACCTCGCTGCAAGGTGGATCCCAGCTATGGCAGTCCCTTCCTCCACCATGGTGCGGAGCACACCTGCGCAATATTACATCATGCAAGAAACGTTACGCATGTATCACATTCCTTTCCATTTGTGTGGATCATTGAATCCAACAGAAAACATCAGCTTACCACGCTGCATCATTGATGGCGTCTGGACATGGCCGCACACCTCACCAACGTCGCCAGCATCCGCAGTGGCTTGGGTAGCGTTGGCATGCGCATCCACGGGTGCAGGCTGGTTGTCTCCGCCTTTTTCCCCAAGATCTGGTCCCATGGTGACTTCAGCAGCACTAGTGCGGGCCGGTGCTGCTGGTGGCGGGGCTGACTTCGGCTCAGAGGTAGCCTGAGCTCCTCCCGCGAACGGTGCAGCTGCTGGTGGCGGGACTGACCTAGGCTCAGAGGTAGCCTGAGCTCCTCCCGCGAAGTCTGCAGCTGCTGGTGGCGGGGCTGACTTCGGCTCAGAGGTAGCCTGAGCTCCTCCCGCGAAGTGTGCAGATGCTGGTGGCGGGGCTGACTTCGGCTCAGAGGTAGCCTGAGCTCCTCCCGCGAACGGTGCAGCTGCTGTTGGCGGGGCTGACCTAGGCTCAGAGGTAGCCTGAGCTCCTCCCGCGAAGTCTGCAGCTGCTGGTGGCGGGGCTGACTTCGGCTCAGAGGTAGCCTGAGCTCCTCCCGCGAAGTGTGCAGATGCTGGTGGCGGGGCTGACTTCGGCTCAGAGGTAGCCTGGGCTCCTCCCGCGAACGGTGCAGCTGCTGGTGGCGGGGCTGACCTAGGCTCAGAGGTAGCCTGAGCTCCAGGCGCGTGCCGTGGGGCAATGGGGCCTTTTTGCGTGCACGCTGCTGAACCGCGAGCTCCTTCCCTCCCACGGGAGCATGCACAGCTCATGTCCTGCCACCATCCCCCCTCCCACTCATCTCTCTCTGCCCTCCAGGCGCTGAACATGGGGCAAGGGGGCCTTTACAGAGTTGTTTGCAGCTGAGTCAAGAGCTCCTTCCGACCCATGGGAGAATGTACTGCTCACCCCCTGCCACCGTGGACCTTCCCACTCTACTCCCTCTGCCCTCCAGGCGCTTCGCATGGCGTCAAGGGGCCTTTTCCCGGTGTTTGCCGCTGACTCACGCGCTCCTTCCCTCCCACGGAAGCAGGTGCTCATCACACCCTGCCACCTTCCCCCTCCATCATCATCTCCCTCTGCCCTCCAGGCGCTGAACATGGGGCAGGTAGGCCTTGGTGTGTGTTCGCCGCTGACTCACGAGCTCCTTTCAGCCCTTTGGAGCATGTACTCTTCACTCACGAAACCATCCCCGCATCCTCCCCACCCCTGCTCTGCCACCCGGGTGCTAAACACAACTCCTTTGGGGCGCTTTTTTAGGTTTACCTCTGCCTCACGAGCTCCCACCTGCACACGTGAGCATGTATACTCACACAACCGCCTTCCCCCTTCATCCCTATCCCTCTGCCACACGGGTGCTAAACAAGGGGAATCGCAGCCCTTTTTTTACGTTAACAACTGCCTCGCGAGGTCCTTTCTCGCCCATGGGAGCATGTACTCCTCACACACTGCCACCGTTCCTCCCCATCCTAACAGACTGCCACCTTTCCCTCCCTACCTATCTCCCCAGCGGGGTAGGTGCTTAACATGGGGCATCGTGGGTTTTTTTTTTTTTTAATCCTCCTCTGCCCCGCGAGCCCCCACCAGCTCACTGGAGCATGAGCTCCCCTCACTCTGCCGCCAACGCCCCTCGCCACTCCCATCAGCAATCCAGGGGTGGACCATGGAATCAAGGGCGTTTGTAGCAGTCCACCTATGTCGCACGTGCAACCAGAAGATCCAGTGCAGCCAGAAATCATCACGGCCATTCCCCTTCCCCCATCCGCCGTATCCCCGTCTTGCCAACGGGTGTTCCTGCTAAGGGTTTCACCACCCTAAACCCTGCTACCAGACCTGTCACCCTTCCTCCCCCTATCACCGTAAACCCTGGCATCGTCCCCTCCTCCCAAACATGTGGCTCCTTCCCGCCTCCCTCCTTATCTCCTACCCCCAGGTGTGGATTATCGGGCAGGCTCTAGCCTTCAGTCCCGTCGTGGCTGGTTTGGCGCTTGGTGGCTGCGGGTGCTGCATTTGCAACACATCTCGCAGATGCAAGGGTTGGGATAGAAGCATTCACATAATCCTTTCTCTTGCCATTGTAATTTTGGTTTTGCAGGCGCACACGACGATGGCAATTCCGGCGGCAGAGGGAGAACATTTCTCACGTGTCGCTCATTTTGTGAGGGCCGCCCCGGATTCATACTCACGGCCCTGGTTCTCAGATGTGGCTGTCATGGGGACCGCGCGAGATGGGAGCAACACTGAATGGTATGGAAAGCTTCTGCTTCTGTTCCATACCATGGTCAGGGGCTGCAAGAAGGAGATGGCATATGTCAAGTATTGGACCAGGACGGGCGAGGATGCGAAAACCGGTTGCACCCGGCTTGCTTGGACTCCGGGACGATCACTTTATTCTGTGATCGACGCCGGTTCAATTTACAGAGAGGTGCATGTTATCAAGGCGTTCCATAGTGACTCTGCGTATTTGCTCAACAGGTATCAACTTAGGGGATAAATCTGCAGTTGCCTTAGTCTATAACCTTGGGGGGCTTCCACGGACAAGGGTAGCAATTTGACACTTAAATTCTGCGAGGCGATCCATGCAATGTTGCCGTAGCTGATTACCCTTTGAGACCGAGTTCAGCACCCAGTGCGAGCTGAATTAAGCTGTCTGTTATAAGTAATAATGAGTTTGATGAGTGCTAAAAGTGTTACTGAAACTATGGTCATGTGTACTGTAAGCTAAACCATTGTTAGACCCTTAATGGTCCAATTTAGGACTACTTGTAGCGTGCTGTTACTTTGGTCAATTTGTTGACCAGAAATTGCACAGTAACAAAGCCGCGATTTCTGAAATGTCGCGGCTCGACAAATTTGGACTTCGTCTGGACGCGATTTGGTTGCACCCGCCAATTTCTGGCTAATTTTTCACGAATCGCGTCGAACCCCCCTCAAACAAAATTTGTTGCCCCCAAACTCCCTCGAAGCCCCACGAGGGTTGTTTGTGATGATGGGCTGTCCTCTAGCAGCAGTCAAGCAAGGTGCTTAGGGTTTGCGGAGTCAGCGTTGCGAACGAAGGACTGCGAACGTGAGCCCCTGGACCACTGCCAGGTGCAAAGAATGCGCGAGACTAAGTGCTGACTTCGATGTACTCTAAGCGCGAAACTTAGGGTTTTAGTGCTACGAACCGCAAACCTTGGTGCACTAAACAGGCTTGTATATCTCAACGGGACGTAGCGGGCGAGCAAACGACAAACAGCAAAACACAAGACGACAAACTGCCCGGGGCAACGACGACGACGACGACGACGACAACGACGACGACGACGACGACGACGACGTGTCTTGCAGCCGCTCTGTACTGAGCTGATGGGTCACTCCGTGACGGGTTCTTTGGACGATTCGCTTGAGGGAGTGGAAGATGGAAAAACGACCAAACACAAATTAGTTGAGTTTATACTACTAGTAAAAACAAAAGAGAGAATGTGTCATTTGATAAGCGCATGCGCTAATTGAAAATACCTCATTACAAGCGCACTCTTAATTTTTGCCCGTCAAACTAGATGTGCACCTGCACTTCTATCCGGGTGGTCACGCTACCAACCATAACCTCGAGTTTTTATTTGTGGATCACGCTTCAGGCAAAACAGGCATGAGTAACGAGCAGAATGCGCTCAGTTCATACTCCTCATCGTCAACCATTCAACGACTGTTCAGAGCACTTCATGATGCCGGAAGGCAAGGCAGCCACGAATGGTGGCAAGCAAAGCCAACGCCACGACTTCTAGGTACGGTAACTCAGACTATACCGATGGCTTGCCTTGCCCAGAATTGCCAATCAGTCGACCCTGTGCGTCTCAGATGCCGATGGCTTCTCGGCAGTCTGCTCGATCGAAAGATGTTGCGGCCCTCCAATTCCTTTGTGAATGCCACCTCATTCCGCACTGCCTCCACTTCAGCAGCGTTCTGCTCAGCTGGGTAGACAAGAGGCAGGGGGCCGGGGGTAAGGTGGAGGGGTGGAAAGGATTTGGGTTAGGGGCAGAGGAAACAGGAGGGAAAACAGGGCAGTGAAATGAGGGCAGAGAGATCAGGGTAGCGAGATGAGAGCAGGGAGATCAGGGTAGGGATAATGGGGTAGGGCATTGAGATGAGATCCCCATGGCAGGGAAGATTGGCGCCCTACCTGAATGGCGACCTTCCGAATGTGGGTAGCGATCTCTCCAGTGCTGCGGTGCACGCATCGCCGTATCACACCGTACTGCCCCCTGCCTATCTCCATTCTCACCACCACCACCGAATGTTCTCCACTCGCCGCCTCAACACTGCCCCCACTTGCCCCACGCGCCCCCACCTCCCTCTCTTCCGCTGCTGGGAATGCGAGGCTGCAGGCTCGGATTCTGCGTCACTGGCAGTGACCTGACTCTCAGGTCCGAAATCAGAGGCTGTTGTCAGCAGGTGCAGAGTTGACTGCATTGACTCTGTTGACTCTAGGCGTTGTGCGCATGGGCGGCTCAGAATGCGTTGACTGGGTTGACTTGGTTGGCTCGGTTGACTCCAGAAAATGCCCCGGCGGGCAGGAAGAGCCCATCAGGCGCGTCATGGAACCACTGGTTGACTCGGTTGACTCGGTTGACTTGCCTGGCACGAATTATTTGAGGGAATGCGGGCGGAATGAGCCCATCAGGCGCGTCGTGGAACCACTGCCGCATCAGCCGCTGCCGCTGCTTCTGCCCCAGCGCCAACTTGGATAGCACGGTGGCGTTTCAGCCAATGACGCCGCTACTTCGTTCAACCAACCCTCAAGCGCCACGTCGGCGGCTGACGTGGCGTCAGATGGAGAGGAGTCGGAGTCGCAACGAGGCCGCCGCGACATCGTCGCGAAGGAAGCTCCTTCCGCTGTGGAATTAAAGGCGGAAGGAAAATCGGAAGGGAAGTCCGCCTCTTCCGCCTCGGAAGGGGAATTCTCGGAAAGGGAGTTCTCGGAAGGGGAGGCGGGGAAGTCGAGAGTGGTCGTGGGGCTGCGGCAGATGTCATGGCGGTGTCGCGGTGACGCGATGGCGACATCCGAGGTGCTGGCGCCGCAGAAAGCGCCGTCATTGCCGGCAGCAGCGGCACTGAGCTGAATCAGAAAGGTCCTTCGCGAATTCGGCGGCAGTGGCGCGTCGCCGCCGCGGCAATGTCCACTCCCGCCTCCGCCGCCGCTGCCGCCGCTGCCGCCGCTAGCGGCGCTAGGGTTCGCGCGATCTCGCCGCGTCGCGGCGGAGCTGGTGGACGGCGCGCGATGATACGACGAGGACGCCATGATCATTCAACGCGGCGTCGCCGGACGAGGATCTTTAATCGGAATCGCGCGCTATAGTACTAGCCACTGGCAGTCGAAATGGTGAGAAATGGGCGATTGATTTGGCGGGAAAGCCGTGAGGCCGTGGGATTCGGGAAATGGCTGGTGTCAATTCGAGCGACTCTGTTCGTAGTAGTCGCATTGGCGGCGAGCGTTTACATACTAACCGAGGGGGATGTCGCGGCCTGGCTGGACATGGAGAGCAGGGTGCTACTAGCATGATGGACGGGTCCGGGGCGGGGAGGGGGGGAAGGAGGGAGAGCTGATGCGGTACTACTGGAGGTGGATGGAGCTGCGAGGAAAGAGAGGCGAGGCGAGGAGAGGAGAGGAGAGATAACCGCTGATTTCGGATGATGCATTCCCCCCGACGCATAAAACGGGCTCATGGACTGTGATAGGGTTGTTGTAAGAAGCCTGGGCCCCGCGTTACATCTGTGCAGTGAATGCCCTCGGCGGTAAGTAACCAATGCGGGCTCGACTAAGTCCATCGCGCTGCGCTCCGTGTTAGAAACAATAGGAGTGGGGCCTAGGCTTAGTAGCCTAGGCCCACACTAAGAGGTAGTAGGATGTGCCCTAGGACTAGGGTTTTGGGTATGCGAAGGAGAATTGGAGAAGAGGAATGATGGAGGATGATTGAACTAGCAAGCAGGTTGGTACAAATAGGAAACCCTAAAGGGGTTGTACTCACTATTGAGCACCCCACTGCAGGCTAGACAAATAACATAATCTGACACACCCCCATAGTCAAAGTGGGGTGTAATCAGCACAATCAGCAGTCACATCAAAAGTTCACAATTATCAGCAAAGCTAGAGGCTATCACAGAGGGCAAGTGAGGAGGAGGAGGAACTGTGAAGGGAGAGAAGATTGGAGACGACGACTGAAGCTGCAGACACACAGGCGCAGCAGGCTCTCTGAGCTACCAGGACAGTGCGCCCCGGACTACAGGTGCTGCAGCCTCCTCCAACTGTCCCACACCCCCCTACACACATCCCCTGTTTCACCTCTAGCTCCACTCCCACATCACCCCCCTAGCGCCACTCCCTTCGGCTCCCACACCTCCACCCCCCTCAGCGGCAGCTGCAGCAGTGGGAGACGAAGGAGGAGGAAGGGACGACGCACACGGAGCACCCCCATACCTGTCACCCCCACACTCCTGTCCAGGGGACGGGGGGGGGGGGGGGGCAACATAACAGAACAGAGTGCACGAAGCACAAGGCACAAGGCACAAGGCACGAGGCACAAGGCACGAGGCACAAGGCACGAGGCACGAGGCACAAGGCACAAGGCACAAGGCACGAGGCACAAGAGAGTAGAGCACAAGGCACGAGGCACGAGGCACAAGGCACAAGGCACAAGGCACGAGGCACAAGAGAGTAGAGCGCACGAGGGCGCGGGCTGCAGCAGGGCGCACGAGGGCGCGGGCAGCAGCAGGTAGGCAGGGCGCGCGCAGAGGCGCAGCGCAGGTAGGCAGTGCGCGCGCAGAGGCGCAGCGCAGGTAGGCAGGGCGCGCGCAGAGGCGCAGCGCAGGTAGGCAGTGCGCGCGCAGAGGCGCAGCGCAGGTAGGCAGGGCGCGCGCAGAGGCGCAGCGCAGGTAGGCAGGGCGCGCGCAGAGGCGCAGCGCAGGTAGGCAGGGCGCGTGCAGAGGCGCAGCGCAGGTAGGCAGTGCGCGCGCAGAGGCGCAGCGCAGGTAGGCAGGGCGCGCGCAGAGGCGCAGCGCAGGTAGGCAGGGCGCGCGCAGAGGCGCAGCGCAGGTAGGCAGGGCGCGTGCAGAGGCGCAGCGCAGGTAGGCAGTACAAACGAACACAGGCAAAACGAACAAATACACGAACAAGACGAACGTACACGGAGTGGGCAAGAAAAGACACATACAGAACGAGAGGAACAAGACTGCGGGTGACAGGAAAAGGAGGCGGCTGCACCGGGACCAGGAGCGGCGTCGCATGCAGCTGCAGGGTCGGCGCCGTGGGCTGCTGCAGAGGCGGCTGCTCGGGTCCAGGGGCGGCTGCTGCAGGGGCGGCTGCTGCAGGGGCGGCTGCTCGGGTCCAGGGGCAGCTGCAGCAGTGGCGGCTGCTCCAGGGGCCAAGGGCGGCTGCTGCAGGGGCGGCTGCACCAGGTGCGGCGTCGCGGGTCCAGGGGCGGCTGCACCAGGGGCGGCTGCACCAGGGGCGGCTGCTGCAGGGGCGGCTGCTCCAGGGGCGGCGTCGCGGGTCCAGGGGCGGCTGCACCAGGGGCGGCTGCACCAGGGGCGGCTGCTGCAGGGGCGGCTGCTCCAGGGGCGGCTGCTGCAGGGGCGGCTGCACCAGGTGCGGCGTCACGAGTCCAGGGGCGGCTGCACCAGGGGCGGCTGCACCAGGGGCGGCTGCTGCAGGGGCGGCTGCTCCAGGGGCGGCTGCTGCAGTTGCTGGCGGCTCCAGGGGCTGCTGCTGCAGTTGCGGGCGGCTCCAGGGGCTGCTGCTGCAGTGGCGGGCGGCTCCAGGGGCTGCTGCTGCAGTGGCGGGCGGCTCGAGGCGCGCCCTGGCCTGGCGCAGTCCGTACGGGCCGCGCGCGGGCCTGGCGCAGCCCGTACGGGCCGCGCGCGGGCCTGGCGCAGCCCGTACGGGCCGCGCGCAGGCTGGACGGGCCGCGCGCGGGCCCTACGGAGGTCGCGCGGGCCACGACGGGCGACGGGGGGCGACGCGCGGGTCCCCGTCGCCCGTCGCAGCGCCTCCCGGGGGCGACGCGCGGAGTGACGGGGCAGAAAGCCGCCGCGCGCCTCGGGGCGCACGGCGGGCAGAAAACCGCCGCGCGCCTCGGGGCGCACGGCGGGCAGAAAACCGCCGCACGCTTCGAGGGCGCGGTGGGATGAAAAAATTAGGGTTTCGCCGCCGCGCACCACGGGGCGCGCGGCGGACAGTACGGCAGCGGAAGCAGGTGGTGGGCCCATAGAGGTAAGCGGCAGGAACGTGCTCGCTCTAGATACCATGTTAGAAACAATAGGAGTGGGGCCTAGGCTTAGTAGCCTAGGCCCACACTAAGAGGTAGTAGGATGTGCCCTAGGACTAGGGTTTTGGGTATGCGAAGGAGAATTGGAGAAGAGGAATGATGGAGGATGATTGAACTAGCAAGCAGGTTGGTACAAATAGGAAACCCTAAAGGGGTTGTACTCACTATTGAGCACCCCACTGCAGGCTAGACAAATAACATAATCTGACACTCCGATCACCAATACCGACTCAGCGTCATGATGACTTATCAGCCACGGTGGTATGGTAACCGTCAGTTATCGATGGGGGAAAGGAGTGGACGGCCCGATGCATGTATCTGCTCTATTATGAATGACGATTCGAGAAGCTATGAACGTGCGAGCGTCATCGCGCGAAAGGCGGGGAGAGAAAGCCCTTCCCCGGGGGACTCTCCAAAAAACCCGGTGGACTCGAAGTCCGATCGAACTTTCCCACCGGGGGCGCAAAACGCCGGAGGGGGGAGGGGGGAGGCGTGACGCGCGGTTCGCGGGAATCGGACATTTCCCCCGCGCTGCACTGCCAGCCACCGGCGGAGCAAATGATCGGCGGAGCACCGACCGGCGGAGCACCGACCGGCGGAGCACCGATCGGCGGAGAAGACAGCGGCGAGAGCGACCCATCCATCAATCCCATCCGTTGGCAGCCGCTTCGCGCCTTGCTTATCCGAGGCCAAGCCACGACACGTCACATTAATGTCCCGAATTCGACGCCGCGTCATCATACGTCATCACTCGCGAGATCAGATCAGATCAGATCGACAATAATAGCTCCGGCTCGTACAGAAGTCTAGGACTACTGTAGTTGTGTACCGTGCAATGGCTGTCTTGTAGTGCTCGCGCAAAGGTGGACTGCGATGTGCGTTGGTGAAAGAGCCAGCGTTCGTCGGTAGAAAAGGGTTTTGCGAAATTTCTCACAGAGTAAGTGAGCTACTTATTGCGTAAATAAGAGCCAGTGCCACGAAGGACTACCCGGAACTGTATGCCTAGCCCGAAGTGTGTGCACACAGCTTTCAGCGAAAGTGGCACTGGGTGTGCGTGAGAGAGTGGTGGTGACTGGTGAGGCTAAAGCGGATGAGGGGAAATATGCTGGGGTTTACAGGAGTTTTGCTGGGTTGAGTTGGGGTTGAGGAGAGTAGGAGAGCAAAAGTGTGCGTTTTCGAGGAAATAATCACGCGACGCGACGATTTTCAACTTTCGCTCAATCCTGTGGACTTGCCTCGCGCCGCCCTCCCCAATTTTGAATATCGTTCAATCCCATGGACTGCTACATGCGCTTTCGCGATATGTTTCCGCATTTTGGGGAAAGGGTGTTGGGATCATTTTGTTGGAAGTAACATTCTCCAACCAGTTGTGGTTTACCCTACCATCCTCGCTTCTGTTTTACTTCTTGGTTTATTCGGGGATACTGTACCGTCTATAAGGCTTGTACTATACCTCTCTCAATATAAGTTTATGCTCACAAAGTTCTCTCTCACTTAGTCTACAAAGTAGTTACCAAGTTAAGGGTAGAGAATTGAGATAAAGACAAAAAGGAATGATTGCACACTAGAATAAGACAAGAATGAACAGTGGAACTGTAGCATATGTTGATGAGCTTGATAGAAGAGAAGATTGCACTTAGAACGTGTGACTATAATGAGAAACTTGTGTATGCTTGATAAGATAAGAACATAAAAGAGAAGAAAAGTGTGAGCTTATTAAGAGGATAAGAGATGTGATGAACACTTACTTGAGTGAATCTTACTAGGGATAGTTGTAGAAGTGACTTGGGAGAAGAGCTTGAACTTGTATGCCTTACTTGAGAGTGACTCCAAGCCTTGGGTTGGATGATGATCCTCCCTTGAGCTTGTAGCTTGTAGCTTCCTTATACTCTTAGGGAGTATGAGGTAGACTACCATTAACTTGGTAACTACTTTGTAGACTAAGTGAGAGAGAGCTTTGTGAGCATAAACTTATATTAAGAGAGGTATAGTACAAGCCTTATAGATCCATGAGGGATACATAGGCATGCATAGAGAGTAACCATCAAAATGGTAGCCTTGGAAGAGAGTTGCATGAGAGTATCAACTTTGGAGACATAGAACTTGGTTGCTAGTGAGGAGCCTTTGTAGTTGAAGAGGAGCTTGAAGGAGAAGCTTGGGAAGGAACTTGGAGAGCTTGATGAAGAAGCTTGGATGCATTGTTGTCATTGAAGAAGTTTCTTGAGAAGTTGTAGAGATGCTTGTTGGAGTTGAATAGTAGTAGAGCATGTGGTGGTGGTTGAGCACTTGTTGAGTTGGAGTTGTAGGCCTTGTAGTGTTGGAAGAAGACTTGGTGACTTGTGAAGGGATGGGTGGAAGAGATAGGATAGCTTTGGTGACTTGGTAGGGGAGGTGAGGTACTAATCATAAGGTCCATGGGGATGAGGTGTCAACTTAAGTGACTTGGGAAAGGAAGGAAGGAAGGAATAAATGAGAGGCATGTGGAGGTTGATGACTAGGAAATGGAGGCATGTGCTTGAAGGCACATGGGAGGAGGATAATTGGAGGAAATAGATAACTTGGGTAATCCTTGATGAGTAGGAAGGGAAAGCACATGGAAAATCATGAGGGGTCATGTGCCTTATGGTGGGGCTTGGAGGTGAATAGGAATTTTGATTGAAAGCTTGGTTGAGTTGGATTAGGAAAGGCTATGGTAGTTGGGAGTAATTAAGGAGGTGGGTGATAGGCTTGAGTTGGAGAGGATGAGTTGGAAAAGGAAGTTTGTAACTTGAGTGGTTGGAATGGGCATTGGAGGAGTTTGTGTAACTTTAGGAAGGAAGGGAGGAAGTTACGAGAGTGTTTTGAGGCGGAGGGGTTGGAGTGGCAGATTGGGGTGGCACGTGACGAGCGTGCCATTCACAACACCATCCTCGCTTCTGTTTTACTTCTTGGTTTATTCGCGGATACTGTACCGTCTAGGTTGTCACCTAGTCAGGTGCGCGATTTCATGCGTAGCGTTGCGATTGGTCCACGTATATCCTTCGACATGCGTTTTTGTCTGCTATGCCGGGCGCAATGATGAGTTCGCTGCAGCTGACGCTGCAATGATGCACCACACACCACGGAAATATCTAGCCCGCATGTCAGCGGGACAACATGTGTCCCGATTTCAACGCTAATGCTGCTGCATTGCTAGCCAATCAGCGCTTACCATATGGTGCTTGGGCCTGGTTTTGTGGCATGCACTCGATGTTTGGGCAGAGGTCAGTTCCCCACGCCGAACGCCCGTTTCTGTCCCGTCAACTCCACCTCCCACCAGGCTCTCTTCGTTCTACCCTTTGTCAATTGTCAAGAAAGCACCCTTTCTTGTGCATAGCCACGCATCTAGTACGTGTGCCTCTTAGTTGATGTTCTCTCCGTTCACGTCCGCACGCACCTGCTGCTCGAGGTTAGAGTCAAGCTGGTCATACTGCGTAGGGTTCAGTTAATCATGTCGCAAGCAGCAAAACGACTAGGGAGAAACCGCCAGCATCCTTCTCCGGCTACGTCCGCTCCACGTACTAAACGGGGAGTCAAGGGTAAGCAAGAGGGGCCGGAAGGTTCAGCAACCCTCGGCGACGACTTCGAGGTTCCCATCCACATTGACGGCGAGGATGAGCTCCCCGAGCCCGACGACATCATATCTAGCTTCGCAAAAGGTGTGCGCGTTCCCGCATTACTAACCACCGAGCTCCCCGCATCACTTCAGAAGAACAAGTACTTCCCTACGCCTAGCGTCACGAATCACCTGGGGCAGACCGCCAAGTTGGGGATGCTGGATGCCCTCCGCATACAGGACGGCTTCGAGATCCCAAGCTCTACAATCGACTTCCATAACGTGTATGGTAGCGGGTGTTTTTTTTTTCTATTTTATAATTTCGGCCTGGCTCCTGCGGAAAATCACTTCTTCCTTCACCGCGATTTGATCCTACAGGGTTCTTAGCCTTGAGCACCCTAAGCTTCATAACGGGAAGAAGTGGGTTGCGCTGGACAGCCTTGCTTTGCAGTCACTCACACTTGGAACGGGTGTTTCATGCGGTATCCCCAGCGAGAAAATCTTCGACTTCGACTACATCTGCATCGTGGCTTGGAACGAGTAAGGAATGGGTCTTCTACCGTCCCGTCTGCCCGAGTCTGCGGTTTTATTAAGTGGATATCCGACATCTACTAACACCACATGTCATCTTCATATCTTGCAGGAAACCACTGCCACGGCATTACAGCCTTGTGGTTGTTAAGGACGCGGCAAATTTGTTGAAGACCGACGAGGAGTCCAGCTCCGCCGAGAATGTGGCGCCCACGGTTTTCCTTTACGACTTGACCAGATTCCACGTCTCTATGAAGGAGACCATTTTTGGACAAGTCAACTTGTGAGTGCCTAATAAGCAATGGCCACGCTGAAATGCCGGCACAAAATGGTGAACAGTCTCATGTTTCGGTTGCTTTTGTACCCTCGTCTCCCCATGCGCAGACTTCTTGGTAGAGCCTTGAAGAAAGCAAGGCCCGAACTGTCTGGTGCAGACGTCTTCCGCCGCCTCTCACGCGTCGTCAGCAAGGCTCTGCATGTAAGTATTGCAACATTGTTAGATCAATTAGAGTTGCGGTTTCTGTTGCTACTAGTGCCTAACTCTCCATTTACTGGTTATGCATTTTTACTCTTGTTTTTCCTATGTTTCCCCCTGTTCAGTACTCTTTGGTCCCTCAACAGGTTAACAAGGTGGACTGTGGCGTTTACGTCTGTATGTTCATCAAGGAACTGGTGCATCGCTGTTTCGAGGACCTGGAAATGGGGATACACCCGTCTTACGGCGGGGATCTTTACCGGCGGGACATGAGGAGTACGGCTTTCCAGGCTGGCAAACGAGTACTGCTGGACACTCTAGGACTCAAGGGTGTGGTTATTCCACCACAACATCACTCGGACGACGAGCGAGACGACGACGTCATAGAGTTGGACTTCGACGCCGAGGCTAAGGTGAAAGAATTGGAAGCTGCCAACTATGTGCTCGGGGCGCAGATCGAGAGCACGCACAAGGAAATCGACGAACTCAAAGACCAAGTATTCAAATTGGGTAAGAGTCAGAACACGCTGTCAGACACTGTGTCACAACTCAAAAGGGGGCTCGAAATGCTCACGGTCAGATGCGGGTGCGATACGGGTGGGCTGGCCCGAAGCGACGAGGCTGGTGCGTCGGGTGGTGATGCTGCACGAACGGTCCAACAGCCTTACAGGGAGTCCTTACTGGCAGCAGATACCGGCAGCATGCCTACATCGCTGCCCGCCACGTTCACCAGGCCTGCAGCACATGTTACCCCAGCCTATGTGCACGTGCCGCCTCCAGCACAGTGGGGTAATGTGCACCACATGACGTTGCACACGACCACACGGGGCGCGAGCCCGGTGCAGACTCAAGGGGGTGTTGCACCTGCTGGGTGGATCCCGGACACAAGCGCGGCCATCCCGGGTGCGGGAGTTGCACCAGCAGAGGTTATCCCGGGTTCCGGAGTTGCAACATCTGGCGGGATTCCGCATGCAGGCTTGTCAACAGCAGGCTTCCTCCCGGGTGCGGGAGTTTCAACAGCACGTTGGATCCGGAGTGCGGGAGTTTCAACAGCAGGCGGGATCCCGCGTGCGGGAGTTGCAACAGCAGGCGGGATCCCGAGTGCGGGAGTTTCAACAGCAGGCGGGATCCAGACTGCGGGAGTTGCAACGGCAGGGCTGCGCGCGGTGGCGGAAGTTGCACCAGAAGGCGGGATTCCGCGTGCGGGAGTTGCACCAGAAGGCGGGATTCCGCGTGCGGGAGTTGCACCTGAAGGCGGGATTCCGGGTGCGGAAGTTGCATCAGCAGGCGGGATCATGGGTGCGGGAGGTGTATCATCAGGCGGGGTCATTCGCTCGGGAGGTGCAACAATAGGCGGGGTCATGGGTGCGGGAGGTGTATCAGCAGGCGGGGTCATGGGTGCGGGGGGTGCTGCAGCAGGCGGGGTCATGGGTGCGGGAGGTGCATCAGCAGGCGGGGTCATGGGTGCGGGAGGTGCATCAGGAGGCGGGGTCATGGGTGCGGGAGGTGCATCAGCAGGCGGGGTCATGGATGCGGGAGGTGCATCAGCCGGCGGGGTCATGGGTGCGGGAGGTTCATCAGCAGGCGGGGTCATGGGTGCGAGAGGTGCTGCAGCAGGCGGGGTCAAGGGTGCAGGAGGTGCTGGAGCAGGCGGGGTCATGGGTGCAGGAGGTGCTGGAGCAGGCGGGGTCATGGGTGCGGGAGGTGCAACAGCAGGCGGGGTCATGGGTGCGGGAGGTGCAACAGCAGGCGGGGTCATGGGTGCGGGAGGTGTATCAGCAGGCGGGGTCATGGGTGCGGGAGGTGTATCAGCAGGTGGGGTCATGGGTGCGGGGGGTGCTGCAGCAGGCGGGGTCATGGGTGCGGGAGGTGCTGCAGCAGGCAGGGTCATGGGTGCGGGAGGTGCATCAGCAGGCGGGGTCATGGGTGCGGGAGGTGCATCAGCAGGTGGGGTCATGGGTGCGGGAGGTGCATCAGCCGGCGGGGTCATGGGTGCGGGAGGTTCATCAGCAGGCGGGGTCATGGGTGCGGGAGGTGCTGCAGCAGGCGGGATATCGGGTGCGGGAGTTGCATGCGGCAAACCGGGTGCGGCAGATGCAAACGAAGGCGGGATCGCTGGTGCTGAAATGGCAACAACAGGCGGGGGCAATGGTGCGGCTAATGCAACAGCAGGGTTGCTCCAGGGTGCGGGAATATCGGCAACAATGGGGATGCCGGTTGCGAGAGTGGCACCGGCATTGGGCAACCCCAATGCCGATGTAGCGGCCGACGGGGGGTTCCTGGGTGCACCCAATCCCATAGATCCGCAAGAAACCGTGCAGGGTCACCGGTCCTCGGCGCTGACGGGCTCGAATTTGGATGAAGCTGTCTCGAGAGCAACTGCATGGCAGTTACGACACACCGCCTACGTGCCCACAGCCACACAAGAGCCGGTCCCCATTCACGCGCCCCTCGCTGCACCTGGGGGGGTACCACACGTCGCACCTTCCCCGACATGCAGCGGCACCGGGTTAGGTGCACAGAGTCACCGTGGGCCAGCTGCGTCTGAGAGCATGTCGCGCCTGCAGAGCAAGGGGGGCAAGCCAGATATCATCAAGACCCAATACACCGTTGAGTACGAGCAACACCTGGACAGCAAAAATAGTGCTCCAGCGGAAAACGAACTCGCAGACGACCATCAGCAGCAAGTTCAGATCGGAAGTGGAGGCCGCGCGTGCGTACGCGGCAGCTCGGCACCTGGTGTGGGGACGTGACCCGTCATACAAGGGCAATATGACCGAGCTGTCCAATGCGGACTTAGCAAAGCTCCAGGGATGCGACGCTCGCATGTGTAAGTTGATGATAGAGGAGAAATTTTAAGAAAGATGGGAGAACTGGAGGCCAGCATGGGAGGAGTGCAGGCTTAAGCTGGCGGCGAAGGAGCGTAAAAACGCTGAGAAGCAGGCTGAGCTTCAGCAGGTGTTGGCTTCAGGGGAGGACCGCCCTCGCAAAATGGCGAGGACGGGGGATGATCCACAAAACGATGCTGCTGGCTCGTCTGCACGACATGACCAAGAGGGTATGGGGACCAATGGTTAGGGTTCGTGGCCATGGAGTTCGGTCTGGCCGCCTCGTGTGTGTTCAGTTTAGTCTCCAATAACTGGAACTGTCGTTTTGGGTTATGTGTGCATGCAACATGTGTGTTTCCTTGTCATTTTAATTCAGCTCGCAATAGTATAGGAGAACAGCACCATGTAATGGCCTCTGTATATGGGTGTTCACAATCCACAACGCGTACGTCCGAAATGCTCAACATGAGGGTCTCGTCAGAATCCCCTCACAATCCTCTGATACGAACTTGTCACGGGACCGTGAGACATACGCTTACGTTGGAAATGCCCCCCGCAAGGGTCCTGTCTGATTCCATTCGCAATCCCGTAACATACCTGTACGTAACTCCCTATCGAACATTAAAAATGTCCCTCCGCGTGGGCCCCGTGAAATTCCCGTAACCAACCAGTGCGGGTGCAGTAACACCCACGCTCGCGTCAAAAAAACTTTCTTGCGTTGGTCCCGTCAGAACCCCGTCACACTCTGTCCCGATCAACTCCCGTCAATGTTCCGTCACTGTTAAATGTCAAATAGGACGCCACGTAAAGGGTCCGTAACGCTAGCAACCCCAAATCCTGCAGCGTATCACACCCGTAAGGGTCTCGTCTGGCTTCCTCGCGATGCAACTTAGTCATCTGCGTATAAATCACATTGCACATACCGTTCAGTTGGGTTTTTGTTAATAAAAACACTAATCAGCCATCCAGCACACAACGTTACCACCGTTAACAAAAAACACAAACGATCAACTACCCTACAGGTCCTCCAAATGTGCGCAGCAAACAAAGCCACATAGTGACATGCATATTCAGCGAGTTTTGCGCTTTTTGCCCGGCACCACATCTGTCTTTCGCTTCCGACCCTTGGCCCGACTGAACACACCCCTTCGCTCGATCGCCCGTACCTTCTCCACACAATCCTGCCAGGCATCCCTCCAGTTCTCCCACCTAGGCCAGAACTTGTGCCGGATCATCAACAAACACTTCTCCCTCGAGCAATCTTGTAACTTCGCCTTGTCTTCAGCGGTCAGCTCAATTACGTTGCCACGGGGACCATCATATGGCCCGAAGAGCACATGCGCCCCAGCTGCCACAGATCTCGCGGCCTCGATCTCAGACCGAAACTTGCTGCTGATGATGGTCGATGCGTCAGCGGCCCGATCACAGACCAGCTTAGCAACCCACGTGTTGCTGTCTGGCTTACGGAAAACACCCACGTATTTCCACTTCCTCACATCTGTCACGCGAGTGGTTGCAAAAGGGTCTTCAGGCTGGGCTCTGGCCATGGAATCGCTCGAAGTGCTAAGCCCATACCTCTCCGCAAACTGCGTCAGGATGACATGCACCTGTGACACATGGGCAGCCATACTCTCCCAAGTGTTGCCGTAGTTTGTCACAACGTCTTTGACAGCTGTGATATCACTATCGACGCGATCGAGGCGCATCCCGTGAACCCCGAGCGCCGCCCCCATGTACCGCACCCTCGTCTCCACGTCCATAGTTGTGTTCACGACTGCTGCGTGGACATCATCTCCAGCATGATGCCGACAAGGTGTCGGCAGATCCACTGTTCCGCACAGCAGCCTCTCTACCAGCTGACCGTTCCCAGCATAGCACATTAAAGCCCTTAACCATCGGCGGAAATGGTCAGCACAGGTTGGGAGCTCCCTGATGCCGTTATCCATGCCATTGAACGACCGTGTGACAAGGTCGTACAGGAACATGCACACGTAAATGCCGGAATCAGCTTCGTGTTCCTCTTGCAGGACCTGGTTCGCCTACACATGGAACCCAGGGTGCATCAATGGTGTTGCTCATATCATGCAGGATGATCTCGGAACATAAACAGATCAATTACGCAGACAGCACTTGCACGCTTACATTCAGCGCCCGGCTGTGTACACGATGAAGGCGATTCGTCAGTTCGCCCGCATTGAGGTTGGGGCAAGCGTGTGCGAGTGCTCTACCAAGCAGCCTGCATCAATATCCGGCATACATCATGGTTTAGCGGGGTTTACGACACGTGACACAAAGCACATTCAGTACGTACGTGTTGATAGCTCTGAAGACCTCTCGAGAGACGCGGGTGTGGATCCTGCCCGGGTCGAAAAGGACAACCTGGGGCATCTCATCCATCGACCAAGCCCACTCTTCCTCCGTCCTGTTCAACGCCGCAGCACCCTTAACTACGGCCATGCTTTTGTGGTGGGGGGACGGATTCCTGCGGATCCAGAATGGAACTCCAACTTAGTATGTGATGTAGGCCCACGAGGGCATTAAATGATGCAACGCTGGGATTTGACCAACTTACACTCCAGTCACTACAATGCAAATGTAGTCGAACGTTAACAAATTCCGACCATCGACACCACAAGTGAAATCCGCGCAGTCGGCTGACTGGTAAGCAGATGAATCCAGAGCAACCCACGTCTTGCCGGTTTGAAGCCTTTCGTGAAGTAGGCTCACAACACTGCGGGAAATAGCGGGGGTGTACTTGAGGACACAACCATGGTATATGGCAATGATCGATGCATCTCACCAGGGTTCTTACACGTTGTGGAAGTCGATCGTGGATGTTGGGATATCGTATCCGTCTTGAATGCGGAGGGCATCCTGCAGCCCCACCTTGGCCCTCTGCCCAATGTGGTTTGTGACTTCCTGGCTGGGAAAATAATCGGTGCTGAGGTCTGAAGGAAGGTTGTCGCTGAGCGACTCTGGAACTTGCACGCCGTTAGCCATCCTAGCGATTATGTCGTCGGGTTCGGGCAGTCGTCCGTCCCCCACTATGTTGACGGGAACGTCAAAATCCACATACGCGCCGTTCGTGTCGGGCCTGCCGCATGCTGCGTACCTTTCGCGCGACGCCTGCCACCCGTTTTGCCGGGTTTACGGGACATTGTGGTAATAGCGAGTTCACAGGAGTTGGGCAATGAACACCTCTCTAACTAGCGTAGTAGTCACTGATTGGAAACGCACATAGACAGACCCGCGTCTTAGCTCCTTTTATGGTAATCGCAGTCGGTGGAAACTGAGTGCCGTTTTGACAGGACGTAAACGTATCGGGCATATGCCTTAGCGGCCCACGATGGGGATCGACGCCATGTGGCGCTCTCGCATTGGACTGCTCAATGACGTCGCTCTCATCGAATGGGATCCGGGTTGGGTTGATCCGACTGCGCTGGGCCAGATTCTCGGCAGGGTGCATGCAGCACACTACCCTACGGGGAAGGAAACGCGTCATTGCATTCTGGCGCATCACGATTATACGTGCAACCATGCATCTAAAGTGTACATGTTGTGACACCATTGGAAACCGTTTTATAACAGTTTACCACACGCACGTCATCGTTTATAGCATTCCCTATCTCCAATAATCAAATCGTAGTGAGCTGTTAACGCATGGGAAAATCAATTACACACATACTAGTCTTATTATCCCATTCAGCTAGATTCGCTCAGACAAGAGTCAAGCACATGGCCTCTGCAGGGCTGACTGTTCCATTAAAACCACTATGATTGTTTTGGGACCTTCATAAATTATTTGACTGATGCCCATTTTCCAAAAAAATGAATACTCTGATTCTTCAAGAGCCAGAGAATTATAACTCTGAGATTTCTGTATACCTTGAGACTAAGGCAGGCTTTACTCCTAACGGGTCTTTTGTACAAGACCCGAGGGATGTAGTGTAGTGTAGTGGTTATTGGACTACTGGACTACAGTTGCTATTTAATCACATGTGCTCATGTCTTTTCGGAATCTTGATCTCCTTCAAGCATTATTCAACTAGGCCACCGCACATACTTTTTATGAGTCCTTCAAAGGGTCTAAGTATACGTATCAATATCAATAGATCCGTGTGGTTGTCGGAAACAAGTGATTTAAGCGCCTCTGCCTTGTAGAAACACTACAGTCATCACCCAGATATAAGACACGGTTGAATAGGATACATGGGTTGTCTATAATCCCATTGCCTCTTATCAACATGCTAGCCGCAGTATACGACACCTAAATGTGTGTAGGAGTTAAGCTAGTGTAGGGATTAGGGGCAATTGTATAACCAGTTTGATGCCATATATTGAGCTAGTGATAGCAATCCTTTTTAGAATTTTAGTGCTATTCTATTTGTCGTTTTTCCTTGCAGGAGTGGCCGGTCATTTTGGCTAGTTTCGCACGTTGAAAGACCTAATAATGGCGGGAAATAGTTTTTTTTTTTTCCTACAATATATCCTACACTATCCTCCGTTATCCTTATTTCATGTACTTCACATACGATATCAGTATTAAGTCCCAGAAACTGGCTTCACGCTTTTGAAAGAGGAAAAGGGAAAGAGGGAGAAGGAAAAGGGAAAGAAAGACACCAGCCTTGTATTGGTTATAGTTTTCCTCGTATTGGTTACAACTTATCTCTGGTTTTCGAAAAGGCCACACCACCACTGGTTGCCACCGTAGGACAGTTATGGGTCGTGTACATGTTTGACACATCAGCCTGTCGACATAATTTTTACCGTATGTTGCATTTTGAGTGTTCGTCAAATGGACACACGATTCAATCCGTTACCGCGTGTCATTCCATAGCAAAACCCACGTGTGACCAGAAAAGTGCTAACGCGGACCCTCCCAGCGCGATGTAACTCACGTAGGTCTGACGTGAGCCACACGCGTGGTTACCTCGGTCACTCGCGGATTCGATGGGACGTAACAGTACCCTCTGACAGGGACTAGACGGAGCCCAACCGGATGTCTCACGTAGGTCTGACGCGAACTACACCTGGGTTACCTCGGTCACGCGCGGATCTGATGGGACCCAACAATAGACTGTGACGGGGACTAGACGTATTTCAACCAGATGTCTCACGTAGGTCAGACGCGAGCTACACGCGTGGTTAACTACGTTTGGGTCGCAGCTCCGCCCTTTGACGGGGAATAGACGTGACGGCCGCGCGTTTAAGCACTCGTGGGCCGGTGGTATTCGACACGAGGGCTTAACGCATGGTTTAATGGCACGTCGCGGGCAACAAACGGAGCCTTAACGCACCTTTGCCGGGGGAGTCCCTGGTGGATAACGGCAATCACTCAAATCTGGACGGGGTGCTGGCGGGATACGACGGGTGTGTAGCGGCACAACAGTATGACCATCTTCACGTTTATTTCTGATTTGCCCACCGCATCTATACTCCCAAGTTCAGATTTGTTTGCAACCACATGCATGCGTCCTAAATGTCACATATTCAAGTGGCAGTAATCCCTATAAATCATTTTAAGTATGTAAAATAAGTCTAAAGGCCCCGGGCCGCAGCAACAATACATCCTAACCATCTCATGCATCACTCATAGAACTATGGCCAGCACCATGCCCAGCAGCCCCACTCCCAATGCTCAACATCGCACCACCCACAGCAGCACTACTCGCAGGCAGATTGCCCTGCAGCACCATTCACCGCGCCCTGCCCAGCAGGGCCACTCCCGGCACCATGGCCAGCATGGCCACTCCCGTCGCCATGCCCAGCAGGGCCACTCCCGTCGCCATGCCCAGCAGGGCCACTCCCGTCGCCATGCCCAGCAGGGCCACTCCCGGCACCATGCCCAGCAGGGCCACTCGCTGCAGCACCACGCCCGGCACCACTCTCGGGAGTACCACTCCCAGCTCCACTCACAGCAGCACCATGCCCCACACCTCTCCCAGCACCTCTCCTAGCACCTCCCCCAGCACTCCGCCTACCACCTCGCCTACCGCCTCGCCCAGCACCTCTCCCTGCTCCCCGCCCCCCACCTCTCCCAGCACCAAGCCCTTTCCAAGCCTCGGCAGGTGTCCCAACTCCGCTGCCAGGTGGAATCCCAGCTCCTGGCCCTGTGTCAGCTGCAGCCCCATGCCCCGCGTCAGGTCCTGCGCCATGCCCTGCACCTACACCAACTCCGTGCCATGCACCACGCCCTGCACCTCGCCCAGCACCACCCCCAGCACCTATCCCAAACCCTTGCCCAACGCCATAGCCCCCAAACTTCCACTTGCAGGTGCTCCTGTTGTGACCGTATTGCTCGCATCTCCCGCACTTGTAACTCATGCCTCTAGCCTCCATGCGCTCGTTGTTCTCCGGGCGGCCGACCCTTGTCTCAATCAAGTGTGGGGCGTCACACACACCTGCTGGTGCAGGAGGGGCCTCACGAACCAGCCTGTCCACGCACGTTCCATGTACGTCCGGGGCGTACATCTTACGCTGGTTGCTTGTGGTGTAGTAGTGCGATACTAGGATCTCTGGGCACCTCCTCTTCCGGACACACATAGTCACTGCATGTGCACAAGGAAACTTGTACTCCTGCCAGTTCCCACACTCACATGATCGAGTGACCAAGTTGACGTTGTAGCTCCTCAACTCCTCGTCGTGCTCCCCCCCACGAGTCTGGATCGTCCCGATGTTATCATCTCCTCCGAGGAAAAAGTAATCTCTAGAACGTCTGAGCTTGATGGTCATTCGCTCTGCTGCTGCTGCAGTCAAATGATCGTCTCTCCGCCAAGCTTCGGCGCGGTGCTCATACCACTTATCCCGAAACCAGTCCCACAATGACGCCAGCAGCCAGGTTGGGGGCAGCATCCGGATCTTTTTTATTGCTCCGTTCAGGGTCTCCGCGACGTTGCTGGTGTAAATCCCGTACCTGCGGGTTGCGGCAAACCTGGCCCAGTGCACTAGTTGGATCCCGCCGATTCTGTACCGTGATCCTTGCCTGTTGCGATGAAACCCGGTTTGCACATGAATGCCCCCCTCCTCCTCGTCCTCAACGTCACCCGCTCCTGGCACACCTTCCCCGGGCACATCCTCGTCATCCTCGTAACCGGGTTCTTCCTCGCCAGCATGAAGGGCGTCGCCATGCGGTCCCGTATCCGGCCATGGCAGCGCCAGGATCTCTGTGAGGCCAGCGTGCAAGTTATCGTCGACATCCAACGCCGAATGTCGCCAGCTGTTCTGATCGGTGTCACCCGGTTGGGCAGCTACTTCGTTGATGATTGCTGCAGCGCTGTACCCCTCCTGTGCTCTCCCCCTAATTGCACCCAGGTTGAACGGTCCACCCGCTCTTGTGGCTCCTGGTGCGACGGGAATTCCTCCGGACGGTGCCACACCCCCCGTCGGTGATCCACCACCACCACCGAATCCGGCACCCCCGTCTTGTGTACCTTGCCCGCTTCCATGGCCCATGCCCACGCTGCCATAACGAAAGACACTCCCTGTGCCACTGGTGAACCCCGGGCCCATGCCGACACCTCCAAACCCTGCTCCCGTGCTCATCCCCAACCCCACCCCTCCCATCCCGGCTCCAGCACCCATTCCCGCGCCACCATGACCCCTCCCTGCTCTTGCTCCCACTCCCAACCACTCACCACCCAAGCCAGAGCCTGGCCCCATGCCAACTCCCTCACCGCCCGTTACAAGACTAGTCCCGTCGCCTTCAGCAGTCCCCACCCGCACGCCCACCCCTCCTACTCCTGGCCCTGATCCTAACCCCAGGCCAAAGCCCCCCACACCTTGTGTTGTCCCCGCACCCATGCCCAGCCCTCCCACTCCTCCGCCAGATCCCACCCCACGGCCAACACCTGCAAACCTGGCGGCACTCCCTGCACCCACGCCCACCCCTCCCACTCCTGCCCCTGATCCTAACCCCAGGCCAAAGCCCCCCATACCTTGTGCAGGTCCCCCACCCACGCCCACCCCTCCCACTCCTCCTCCAGATCCCACCCCACGGCCAACACCTGCAAACCTGGCGGCACTCCCTGCACCCACGCCCACCCCTCCCACTCCTGCCCCTGACCCTAACCCCAGGCCATAGCCCCCCATACCTCGTGCAGTCCCCGCACCCATGCCCAGCCCTCCCACTCCTCCGCCAGACCCCACCCCACGGCCAACACCTGCAAACCTGGTGGCAATCCCTGCACCCACGCCCACCCCTCCCACTCCTGCCCCTGATCCTAACCCCAGGCCATAGCCCCCCATACCTTGTGCAGGTCCCCCACCCACGCCCACCCCTCCCACTCCTCCTCCAGATCCCACCCCACGGCCAACACCTGCAAACCTGGCGGCACTCCCTGCACCCACGCCCACCCCTCCCACTCCTGCCCCTGACCCTAACCCCAGGCCAAAGCCCCCCATACCTCGTGCAGTCCCCGCACCCACGCCCACCCCTCCCACTCCTCCTCCAGATCCCATGCCTAAGCCCAAGCCCCCCATGCCTTCCGCGGACCCCACCCACGAGCCCACCCCTCCCTCCTGGTCAATCCTGTCCCACGCCCACACGTCTCGGCCTGTTCCAATCCCCAACCCACCGGCGCCTCCTGATCCCATGCCGAACTCCCCGACACCGACCCTAGCTCCCATTCCCATACCCAACCCTCCCACCCCAGCCGTACTCTCTTGCGTTCCCAACCCAACTCCGCCGGCCCCCTGGCCGTCATCCCAGGTGCCTCCTAGGTAGTTCTCCCCGTCGCCATGTCCGCCTGAATCTGGCATCCCACCTCCTGCAGACGCGCGATCAAAATCTCCACCAGGCACGCTGCCACTCCGTCCGACACCCTGACCACTCTCCATACCGAATCGTGGTCGCGGTGCAGCAGACCCTGATCCCCCGCCACCCCGGCCATAGCCAAAGCCCCTGCTGCCACTTGGCCCAAACATCTCGCAACCTGTCCCACTTCCGACACCCAAACCTGCCCCCCCGAACTGGAAAGCTCCTGTGCCAGGCGTGGCCCGTCCACGTACTTCCCCACCAGTTAAACCGGGAGCATCATCCCCTGACGAATCACTCTCCGAGGCACCTTGAACTCCCCTGCTGCCGGCCGCTCCTCGAAAGGTTCGCCCAAAGACCTGTGCATTGGGAGCGTTGATGCCACCCCTCCCCGCCATACCGCCACCAGCCCGGTTGAACCGGGCGGTGCCGACACCGGGGACGCCCATGCCACCTTGAGGCTGGTTGTGGCCCCTGGTCCCACCCCCCGCGCCACCGTGGCGGGCGTTTCGGGCCTCTCGTCGTCCCTGACGGCCTGCTGCAAAAACGTATGCTCGCGCGCCCTCATACGTTGACCGCTCCTGTGGGGGGGGGCTGAGCATCAGCAGGGGAGGGTACGCTCTGTGCGGGTGGTTCCATGGGGCCGAAAAGATACAGTGCCATCTCCGGGAAGAGGTATCTGCACGCCAGAACCAGGGCGATCCACTTTATCATGCTTCAGCACTTCACCAGCCTCCAGAAGTACTTCTGCGCCTTTGCTTTGAATCGCCTCAGATTCTGCTCGAGATGCCATGCGCAGAAGTAGTGAGGGATGTGACTGGGCATCACCTCGCGCGCTGCTGGAACCAGACCCTTATCTCTGTCGCTGATGATGGAGGCGTGCTTCCGCTGCGTCCACTCAGGGCACCCATCGATGAAGTGCTTCAAAAACCATGTCCAGGATTCCTTGTTCTCCGACTCCACCAAGCCCCACGCCAGCAGGAGGACTTTTTGGTTCCCATCAAGAGTAACGGCGACCAGGAGCACTGCCTTCTGCGCGCTGATGAGGTGGGTACCGTCGAACGCTATCACTGGACGGCAGAATGTGAGGGCGTGCCGGGCGGCAGAAGGGCGGATAAAAAAACGGTGAAAGAGTCCACCAAGCGTATCGAGATGCACCTTCACCTCCGGGTCAATGACTTGGAAACGGTCGACAAGCAATGGGATCTGCCGGAAGGACTCCTTCCAATCGCCGTAGAATTCCTTGATGATGTGTTCTCTCAGACGCCATGCCTGCCAGTAATGGATTTCGACCCCCCCTTGACCCTCCATGAGCTTCATCAGCTCAATGGGTGCCACGAACGGATCGGCGCGGACCATGTTGCCGTAGGCTCGTAGTAAGACAGGTAACTTGTTAGCGATGGAAACTGCGTACTCGTACCGGTCTTGTGCCGGGCAGTTATGGGTCTCCGGCAGGACGAGGGTCGTAATCCGCCAATAACCAGTGTCAGTCTCCTCGTGATATGCGCAGTGCCAGAAACATGCCACATTCGGCAATTTATCAGCCACCGCCTTACACCCGACCAATACATACTTCTTCTTCGTCATGTGCACATGATAACCGAAGTGATGCGTCATAGCGTATTCCTGTAAAGCCTCGAAACACTTATCTCGCGATGAGTACAGCCCGCCTAGCTCAAGTGGCGCATCATCGTCGGGCTCTTCTGGAAGAGGGGTGGAATCTTTCACGGAATGCATTGCGCGGAGGATCTTAAAAGCGGGATTAGACGCCATGATGCCAGGCTGACTGCTCTGAGTGTACGACTAATGCGTTGCCATATGGTCTTAGCACCAGCAGCTCTAAGTGGGGGGAAGCTTAAGTTACTAGATCTGTGGTAGTTGGTTATGTTTCAGAGATACACATATCTACAAGTCCTAGTATCAGTTGTGGTGCAGGTGGAGCGATTGATTCTCAGAGGTGAGGTACGGGCATGGTACATGAAAGTATGAACAGAGTGGTCCAGAACGAGCATCTTGCACGAAATAGGGAAAAAACGAGTGGTGAAAAACGGTACAAAGAACATGCAGAGTGGCGCACTGTGGTACGTATACGAGGACCTCACCTTGCATTGGTCTTCTCAACGCTGATGTAACGTGTTGGAGAATGAAGGGAACCTCACTTAAGCATTCCCGAAGGTGCAGCTACATCGCACCAGTCACTATCGAAGCAGCGCGAGCAACAGATGTCGGATCAGCCCATATCAAAGGCAGGAAAGTCAACAGTCGCAAGAGTCAACTGTCGCGACTGTTGACTATCTGGACCGACGATTGACCTACTATCGAGGAATGGCAACAGGCGTAACCGTACGCACGGTTACAAGCAGCGACTCGGTAACAAGAAAGGAAATGCAATAGTCAGAGTCACTGTTGTACTGCCTGTAAAACAGTTATAATAAGAGAATGTACCCCTTAGAGTACATGGCTAGCTAGGACTATTTATTCTGCTTGTATTCTATCCTTTAATCAACTTTGTCATTTACATTCACTATGATCAAGGTTCCTACCAAGACTTCCGCTACCAACTCTTCCAAAGGCACTTCCTATCCTATCCAAGATCCTCACTCTAACATGGTATGAGAGCCAGTTTGGATTATAGGAACTGCTAAAAAGACCTTTCTCAAAAGACAACCTTTCATATAACTTATTACAAGGGCAAGCAAACATGCCAGGCGCCGACTGCGGAGAAACTGGAGAGAATCCAGTACATCCGTCCACTAATGCTACCTCTACCACAACTACCGTGGACACACCACTTCTCGAGCAGCTGATTTCCCGCATCAGCGCACTGGAGAGCCATCAGCCAATGAGCATTGACGGCTCCAGCTACGCCCGAAGACCTCCCGATCCTCAAGGAGCTGGATCTGAACGATCCTTCACCTTCGACAATCGCGGAGCTCCAGGACCTGCTCAAGCACAACATGCGCATCTCGAGACAATGGCGTCAATGCAGAGCAAGTTCCTGTCCACGTCAAAGCTCAGGACAACAAAACCGTTCGACGGACAATATTTCTACACCTGTTGTTTCGAATTCGAACTACTAGCTCAAGGCGCCCAGATCTGGATGTATTGCGACGGTTCGTACCCCTTCCCGACTAACGGCTCACCTCAGGAGAAGACGCAGTACTACAACGAATCTCTCCTGGCCTTCACCGTCTTGATCCGGAACTTGTCGCCCGAAGAACAGCTGAGCATCCGCACATTCAAGAACGAGTGGGCACCCGCGCAACAGTCCTGGGAACACCTGCGCACCTGCCACATGGCAACAGACTCAGTGACACTCAGTCGCCTACTCAACCAGCGGAACAACGTCAAGATGTTCCCCGGCGAAAAGGCCGGATCCTACATCAACCGCTGCAGAAACCTGAGAGACCAATTCAGGAAAAGCGGCGGAAACTTCCCTGACGACATGTTCGTCACAATCATTCTCGCTGGATTGAGCCCGGAATGGCGCCAGTGCAAGTCGCTCCTTCGCACTCAAGGAACCGTCAGCGAAACCGCCCTCTGCTCAACGCTCCTCTCCGAGCAAAAGGAAATGGACCTGTACAACGAGAGAGGCAACAAGAAGGAGAAGATCGCTTTCTACGCACAAGCGTCACCGGACAAGAAGAAGAGACTCTTCTGCAAGTACTGCAAGAAGACTGGACATACAATCCAAGACTGCTGGAAGCTGAACGACAACAACAACCAGAAGGGAGCCGCCACTTACGAGCAAGGAAGGACTCCAGTGCGCAATCAAACCGTGTCACCACCAGCCGTCGCAAGCACATCCCAAGCTCCGGCGCGCGTCTCTGCGAACACAACCGACAAGGGCAAAAGCAAGGTGTTAACTTGCATGGTGCGACGAGGTCCACCTCATCCGAACCGACACTACCGCTTCTTCCGTAGCTGGGAAGATATGTTCGCGGATCCGCCGCAAGAGCGTCCTGAAGGGTCGGTCGAAGACGAAGAAGAAAACGACCCGACATACGACGAGCTAACGGTCGGACGCATGGAGTATGACTGGGAAATGCCGCCTTGGATCCAGGAGTCACCACCTGCACGCGAGGCATACGAAGACGAGGATTATACATATGACTACGAACACGAGCACGACATGGAGCATCACATCACTCCAAGGCTCGCCAACCTCGCCAAGGCAAGAAAAGAAATCAACACCTGGTACCTGGACAGCTGCTGCGGACAACACATGGTGTCGTCAGACGTTTTCATCCTCAACAGTGAACGCCTCTTCAACGAAGTGGAGATCACCGTTGCCAACAGCCAAACCATCTACGCAAACAGCCGCGGGCAGATCCAGCTGGAGTCCCACGACACCGGGTACTGCATCCACATCAGCGACGTGCTCATTGTGCCTGAGCTTCGGTACAACGTTCTGTCCCTCCACCAGTTGATGAAGTGCGGAGTCGGCCTGGAAACAACAGAAGACGAGATGCACTTAATTTACAACGGGATCTTCATCGGGAAGGCGACAAGCGTGGAAGGACTGTTCGTGCTTGATTTCGAGTCACCCAAAACCTCTGGCGACAACGAGCACATCCTCGTTCTTGACCCTCCTGGTCACCCGTCGCCACCACGATGGAGTCATCCTGAGGAGACCGACTACCAGCGGCCTGGCCTCGACGGTACCTTCCGCGCCCTCGCCGTGCCCGTCGCTTCGACCACGAATCCTGGAAGCACAGGAACGCAAGCAGTGGAAGAGGGAGAGGAAGGCACGTCAGACACGGCAATCGCGACGACCGAAACTGCAGAGGCAGAAGTCCCGCAACAAACCTGGCCTCCTGTCACTCACCCAACTGGCTGGAACACCACTCAAGGTTGGGACGCAGTCGACGTACGCTGGGTCGCTGACAACACCGCGCTCGGAGAAGCCGTAGCAGCAGAGACATCAGGATGGGGAACCACCACCGAAGAACCTGCAGCAGAGACAACCGAAACGGTGGAGTTACCAGAAGTCGCTGAAGAAGCACCAGAAGCAGAAGAAGAAGAGCTACTAACGGAATACGGACCTCACCTGATCCCCATCACGACCGACGGGAGGGACTATCTCCGCCTCGAGACAAGGGGAGTGGCGATCGGCGATGCACCCTCTAGAGAAGGCGAGATCACACGGCCTGACGAGCGCCGCCAGCGAACGTCACCCTCATCTCCTGAAGAACCACCGACGCTGCCAGTGACGATTGACACCGTCACCATCGGCGATACCAGCGAGACGTATCACGGCGCAACAATCCAAGCAGCGGCGGTCCACATCACTGTGCCCGACGAACCTGCGGAGGAAACCAGGAGGACAACCACAGAAGAGATCTTAGCACGAGAAAAGGAGCTGTACACTCGCACCAAGGGATATCGGGCCGACGGTGACATCTGGCATCAACGCATGGGTCACCCATCAATCGAGGTGCTCAACAACTGCATCAACGCAAAAGTCTTTGCGGAAGACGCACTGTTGCTGCCAGACGGAAAATTGCTGAAGCCGAGAACTGACCTGCCCAACTGCCCTGTCTGCCCGGCAGCTGCACTTCGCCACACGCCTTTCGCTGAGAAAATCCCTGGAGCAGAACGCTACGAACCGCTGGAGAAAGTTTACAGCGATTTCTTGGTTCTCACGGCAAAAGGAGTCGGTGGGGAGCAATACACACTCACCTTCATCGTTGCTGGCACACGCTTCGTCTGGGCTGTAAACGTCAGCGATCGTTACCTCGCCTACCACTGCTTCGAAGTCTGGCTCAGCATGGCAGAAACTCAGAGCGACGGCCGGAAGGTGAAGGCCTTCCAGACAGACGGAGCCCTGGAATACATGTCAGAGGACTTCAAAACCCTCTGCAAGCAGAAGGGCATCAAGAGGATGATCTCGCTCCCCTACGCTCACGAGCAGCAGGGATTGGCCGAGCGAACCAACAGGAGCCTCGCGACAAAGATGCGAGCTCTCATGAAGCAGTCAGCTGTGCCAACCAAGTATTGGCCCTATGCCATGGCGCATGCAGTTCGGTTGCACAACATGCTCTCCTCGAAGGCCCTGCCCAACAACAGTTCACCGTTCAAGGAATGGACCGGAAAACACCCCGACACACGCATGCTGCGGGTCTTCGGATGTATGGTACAGTACCGACCCCACACTGCCCGAACCGGAAAATTTGAAGACCGTGCCCGCTGGGGCATTCACCTCGGAATCGAATCCGAATACCACGCCTGGACAATTCTGGACTTCGCCACCCACCAGCTCACGCGTTCACGTGACTGCATCTTCTACGAAAGACTGACCCTGCCACTGTACCGCCAGCACCGCACTGCACAGGAAGCACCAGACAACATTTTTCAGGGACAGCACAGCTTTGCCAATGACGAGGATGACATCGACGTGGCAGGAGAACAGCCGGACGAAGACGCAACAAATACCACACCCTTTGTATCCGTTACGGAGCAGTTCGAAACACCCACCTTCTTCCCAACCAACACTGATACCCGCGAAGCAGTACAAGCTCACATAACTACACCAGTGCAGAAATGCACTCACCCATGGACGAAGACCCAGTTCGCGACTCCTCTCGGGACACAATTTGCGACATCCCTGGCGACGACGACGACGACGTGGTCAAAGTAACCAATGCAGCCGAATCCAACCTCACCGGCCTTCGCATCCTCGGTCTCGCCGTCGCCGTTCGGGGTAACCACCAACTGGTGGAGCCCACCACTGTTCG